CGATGGCGAAGATAATCCTTTACGGGTCTGGAGTTATGTGCAGGACACCCATCATTCGATTTCAATCGTGTTATATTAATGAAATCTAATCATTTAAATTGTTTATTGAATCGTTTTATTTTTTGCCATATCTTCGTAGTAGTTTGAAAAAATCCCATCAAACCCGGCATTGTTGGTTGAATTTGTAATAATGAACTCTAATTGAATATGGAATGATATACTGGGTGTCCCTATTCAAATTAGGAAGTTGATGGGCACTTTGGTGTGACCCTGTATACCTAAGATTTATTCAATAGCATATTTCGAGTGAGCATCATTAAATATAGTGGGTGACCAAATTTCAAGTCATTCGATCGTGCGGTTGATTTTTTACAGAGGGGGACATTTCAGCTGGGCCACGGTGTATATATGTATATGAGGGAAAGAAAAGAAATATCAACAAAAAATATTATAAGAATGCTAAGAAGCGAAGATCACCTGATAAAATTATTTTCGTTAGGTAAGTTTGAAATTAGACGTATTACCAGTTTTTTTTTAGTGCATCGGGAAGCCTGTTATATGTATAGCCGAGTTATCGTGAATGAAAAAGACGATTGATATTGTACTGAATTGTGAGGGGTGGAGTAAGTAAAGACTTTTAAAGCGTGTAGGTTATGGACGTCGGTACGAAATGTAATTTTTTCATGCAGGTACGGCGGTTTCTGTGTGATTATAATTTTGTGAAATAATGTGCATGAGTGAAGAATTCGCTTGTTTTTATTGAGCCAGCCTAGCTCTTTCAGAGTACCGGAAAGATGATCACGTCTATTCAGGCCACAGATGAGACGCACGCGAGAGTTTTGAATGAGTTGAAGTTGCAGAAGACCTTTTTTATTTATGGCTGGTCCGTAGATGATGTTCGCATAATTTAACTGAGAGAAAACTAGAGACTCAAATAAAGTTATTTCACCGCGTTTTTCTAAGACTTTTCTGTTGGCATTAATAAATTTCAAATAACAAAAAGCGCGCCTGATGATCATATTGACATGTCTGGTGTAGTTGAGCGACGTATCAAGTATAATCCCAAGGTTCTTGGAACTTTAAGACAGAGGAAGTATTCATCTGTCAGAAACATCATGGTGTTCCACAGGGATCTGTGTTAGGACCTGTACTTTTTTTATTGTATATCAACGACCTCACGAAAATTGATATAACTGGAAAGTTCACTCTATTCGCAGATGATACTACTATATTATGGAATAGTAGGAATCCTCGAGATCTGCATCAAATGATATCATCTGATTTGAAAAAGGTGAAAGATTGGTGTGACGCCAATATTCTGTCGTTCAATATATCTAAAACTAGTACAATATCATTCAGATCCTCCCTTGATGAACTCACATTTGGTGATCATTTTATTAAAAGTAGAAATAATACTAAGTTTCTGGGATTGTTGATCGACAAAAATCTGAAATTTGGTAACCACGTCAAGATACTCACTGGTAAGATTTCTTCTGGATGTTATGCAGTGAGAGTGATTTCTAGGGAATTAGAATTCTTTACTGCCAAGATGGTATATTATTCACTAATAGATTCCCAATTACGATATGGAATACCTTTTTGGGGAGTGTGCAGTCCAACGTCTTTGAAAACTCTGTTAATTCTACAGAAACGAGCGATAAGGTATTTGTGTAATGTCAAACCTCGAGATTCTTGCAGAATTTTATTTATATTGACAGTGATTGCACTATTCATTCTGGAATCTGTTTGCCTCCCATCCATCATAACACGCGTAACAGAAATTTCAGTTTGAAACTTCCTCTACCCACAAGAGTGTTTATTAAAGATTCCATATACTATAATGGTGGAAAAATGTACAACCACTTGCCAGTTGATATTAGATCAGCAAGTCTGAATGACTGTCAATTCAAAAAGAAAGTCATAAAGTGCCTCTCTGATAGACCCTATTACAATTTGCAGGAATATTGAAGTGATACTTTTGAGTTGTGATATTTCAGTATTTCAATGTGGTATTTATTTTGACTATATTTTGTCACGTATTTTTATGTCGTTATATTTTAACCTCTTTTTACATTATTATCTGACCTTGCTTTGTCAACAAGATTCTTCTTCAGACAATAAAGCATATTATTATTATTATTATTGTTATTATTATTATTATTATTATTATTATTATTATTATTATTATTATTATTATTATTATTCATTTAAGTTCATGTAATTCCAGTCACGACCCTGCGGCCTCCGACGTCACGCAGAGTCGTGCTGGATAAAATCCAGTGACTACTCCTCACAGCCTGTGAGGTGAATAATCACTGGGACCAAGTACCGTGTGCCCTGAGTAGACGCAATCATCCAAGTATGACGGCCTTCTGCATACCACCAGCCAGGATGTGTGCCTTATCACGGCACGCTGGGATTTTCTGGATCTCCGAGAGTAGCGTGTGTCGTGTGCCTCCTAGGGAGCCGATAATCAGGATGACCAATTCCACAGAATGGTCTGGATAGAGCCGGCGGAGTTCGAAGAGAAGATTATTATTATTATTATTATTATTATTATTATTATTATTATTATTATTATTATTATTATTATTATTATTATTATTATTATTATTATTATTATTATTATTATTATTATTATTATTATTATTATTCATTTAAGTTCATGTAATTCCAGTCACGACCCTGCGGCCTCCGACGTCTCGCAGAGTCGTGCTGGATAAAATCCAGTGACTACTCCTCACAGCCTGTGAGGTGAGTAATCACTGGGACCAAGTACCGTGTGCCCTGAGTAGACGCAATGATCCAAGTATGACGGCCTTCTGCATACCACCAGCCAGGATGTGTGCCTTATCACGGCACGCTGGGATTTTCTGGATCTCCGAGAGTAGCGTGTGTCGTGTGCCTCCTAGGGAGCCGATAATCAGGATGACCAATTCCACAGAATGGTCTGGATAGAGCCGGCGGAGTTCGAAGAGAAGATCTCGATATTTAGTCCGTTTCTCCTCCTCCTTCAAAACGATGTTCGGTTCGGCTGGCGCCGAAAACTCGATCACGAACATCGCTTTGGTTTGATGGTCGAGGAGGACTACATCAGGCTTGTTAGCTTGTATTTGCCTGAGGGTGGGGAATGAGAAGTTCCAATAAATTCGGCACCTCTCATTCTCCACAACGGACTCAATATCCCCCGGAGCATAGGGCAGCACTGGGGTCTCGTCTATTCCGTACGAGTGCCTCAGGTGATAATAGAGCACTCGCAATGCCGCATTGTGTCTATGGATATAGGCCGAGACTGCATACACCGTGCAAGAAGACAGCAGGTGCATACCCCAATAAACTTAGCAGAACCACTTCAATATTTCGGATTTGCGATAGTACTATAATTTGTTACTAATTTAGTACTAATTTGTTATCATGTTCGCAAATTTATTACTCTTCATTAAACAGAAAAAACCAACGGCTTCGCTAGCTTTATGTCAACCTAGCAGAACCATAGCTGAAAATTTAATATTTTGAAAATTTTAAAATTACCATAATATATAACTATTTTATTACTATCTTATAACTATAAACACGAATTTTTTACTCATCATTTCAAGAAAAAAAACGACGATTTGTCTATCTCGATCTCAACCTAGCAGAACCAAAACTCAGATCACATGTTTTTTGAAATTCTGTTGTATCATCGATAAGTTAATTATTCATTACTATTTCATTACCACATTCGCAAATTTCTAATACTTCATTCAACAAGGACAACCAATGGCTCTGCTAGCTTTCAGTCAACCTAGCAGAGCCATAGCTGAACAATTATTATTTTGAAAACATCAAATATACCATAATTTATTACTATTTTATTACTAACTTATAACTATAATCACGAATTTTTTACTAATCATTTCATGGAAAAAACGACGATTTGACTATCTCGATCTCAACCTAGCAGAACCAAAACTCAAATCACATGTTTGTCACAATGAAGTGTTAGAAATTTGCGAATGTGGTAATAAATCAGTAATAAATTAGTAACTTATCGATGATACAACAGAATTTCAAAAAACATGTGATTTGAGTTTTGGTTCTGCTAGGTTAAGATCGAGATAGTCAAATCGTCGTTTTTTTTTCTGGAAATGATGATAAAAAAATTCGTGATTATAATTATAAGTTAGTAATAAAATAGTAATAAATTATGGTATATTGGAAGTTTTCAAAATAATAATTGTTTAGCTATGGCTCTGCTAGGTTGACAGCAAGCTAGCAGAGCCGTTGATTCTCCCTGTTGAATGAAGTGTTACAAATTCGCGAATGTTGTAATGAATTAGTAATAAATTAGTAACTTATTGATGATACAACAGAATTTCAAAAAACATGTGATTCGAGTTTTGGTTCTGCTAGGTTGAGATCGAGATAGACAAATCGTCGTTTTTTTCCTTGAAATGATGAGTAAAAAATTCGTGTTTATAGTTATAAGATAGTAATAAAATAGTTATAAATTATGGTATTTTTAAAATTTCCAAAATATTAAATTTTCAGCTATGGTTCTGCTAGGTTGACATAAAGGTAGCAGAGCCGTTGGTTTTCTCTATTCAATGAAGAGTAATAAATTTGTGAATGTGATAATAAATTAGTACTAAATTAGTAACAAATTATAGTACTATTGCAAATCCGAAACATTGAAGTGGTTCTGCTAAGTTTATTGGGGTCAGGTGCATAATTGTCTCGGGCGCCCTGCGGCAGGCCCTGCAATTTGTTATTATTATTATTATTATTCATTTAAGTTCATGTAATTCCAGTCACGACCCTGCGACCTCCGACGTCACGCAGAGTCGTGCTGGATAAAATCCAGTGACTACTCCTCACAGCCGGTGAGGTGAGTAATCACTGGGACCAAGTACCGTGTGCCCTGAGTAGACGCAATGATCCAAGTATTATTATTACTATTATTATTATTATTATTATTATTATTATTATTATTATTATTATTATTATGGAAGAAATTGAGTCGAAAGAGGATTTCAGTTTTCCTTTATTAAGCACAAACAGAAACATGCTGAGAGGCATAATTAAAAAAAATCAACTTCAACTTCAACTTTGAGCTGGCCTCACCATCATGCGAGCTCTGGCATGACAGTATTCATGACTCCTGAATGTTTTCCAATGTAGACCATGGAACTTGTACTGAGCAGGTAGATCCACATTGAGGTACTTTCCGTTGAGGTTGCTGATGTGACAGGATTTGTACCACCAGGCACCATCTGTAGTGAAAGACGAGTTGATATTAATCGCTTATTTCTACTACTTATCACAGTATAGTAATTTTCCTAACAAGTGCGGAAAGTAATTCTTTCCCGCACGCGACTGCCGTTGACACGAACGACGCGAAACGGAGTTCGGGCAAGCAGTCGAGTGCGGGAAAGACACTTTCCGCATGAGTTAGGAACAATATTTTTTCTACAAGCGTAGGAAATTGATTGATTAGTTCAATTATTATTCATTCATATAGGAACAACTAACAAGATTATATTCTCTATCTACTGATTATTAGTAATAGCTATTGTGAAATGGAACTAACAGTTTGACGCAATATGTATAGGTTCATTGAGGAAGCCAGCAGGACATAAGGTGTTTGGTCTCTAGGTTTCAGACACTTCTAGGAAATGAGCCAAAAATACTTCTTCTTCATTCGGTATTTTCATTTCTTTATTGTTGCACCATTCAATAATACGCGTGTATACCTATCGCATCCCTATAGCTGGAAGTTTTTGATTAAACTGTGGCAATTCCACTGAATCGAAAATGACAGTAACGCTGTGTCTGTCACTTCGACAATTACAAACTCATTTGAGGTTTGATTGGCATGACAACAATAATCGTTTCCCATCAGATCAATCCAAATCTATAGGGGGATTTTTATGATAATCAATTTTTATTTGTCAATATTTCTTAATTTTCACGATGAATAGTGCAATTTGATGAATGATTCTGAACATACATACTTAATACTGCAACAAACAAACTCAAACTCTCATATTCCATCACCTACCACTTATATTTTGCCATATTATCATATCTTTGTTTTTCCCGCAATGTTACGGGAAAATGACACTTCTCAAACTAAATTGCGTGCGGGTATAGGGTGAATCACGCACGCTTGTAGAAAAAAACATTTACCAAACTAAGCATTTGAATGTAGTTCAGTGTATCATAATAATCAATTCGATTTGTGTTATTGAACAGTGTGTCCGTAAAGTATGGAATGAACTAGGGTCACAAAATACAGGATGTTTCATTGAACACATTGCGGATGCCGTCATCACCTTAATAAATATCACCCTGTGTAATTGTTTTTGATCACTTGGAATGGGATTCTCTATGAGGTTCGGAGAACATTCTGTGGTCCTAGGGAAGATAGGGAGAAGATAGGTTGATATTGGTATCTGTTTTGAACTTTTGGAGATTATACAGGGTGAGTCATTCGTGTGGCAAAGTGAGATAACGGCTTTACTGTTTGGGATAGATGAACTAAAATTTCAGAGATGATCTAGGATCATGAGCAGCTCTTTTCCCAATTACTTCGCTGTATAGAGGGTGACTCAGAAATGCGTGGCGTATCGAAGTGATACTTTTTCTTATGGAACACCCAGTATTTCATGGCATTTTTGCATTTTCCTTTGTGAGCTGATTTCATCAATGTATCACACTCGGGGTCTAGCGAGAATGATTAGGTACAGAGATATAGGTTGTTCAAAATCGAGATTTTTCAACTTCAGGATTTTTTTGCGTCGAAACTATTCATTATAGGTCAAAACGGCTTCCATGTCCCTATCTCAACTTTTGATTTACTATCCACTGACATTTAATTGGAACAGATACAAGGGTGATCAGAATGCTGAATCTTGAACCACCCTGTATTTGTTCCAATTAAATGTCAGTAGATAGTGAATCAAAAGTTGGGATAGGGACAAGAGAGCCGTTTTCCAATCCTCAAAGTTGAAAAATATAGATTTTGAACACCCTATATATCTGTAATCATTCTCGCTCAACCCCAGGTGTGATGCATTGATGAAATCAGCTCACAGAGGAGACTGCAAAAATGCAATGGAACACAGGGTATAACTTTGATACGCCACGCATTTCTGAGTCACCCTGTTTAAAGCGAAATAATTTGGAAATGTGCTGCTCATGATCCTAGATCATCTCTGGAATTTTTGTTCATCTATCTCAAACAGTAAAGCCGTTATCTCACTTTGCCACACTAATGACTCATCCTGTATAAGTTCTGGGGAACACTTTCGTTGGCAGATAAATCCTTATCTTTGCTATTCTGTAAACAAACGACATATCTCAAGGTTGAGGACGAAGGGATGTGCTGACCGGACATGTCGAGTTCGTCTGACTGGTATTGCTAATGATGGAATGATATGTCAGAGATTACTGGAATAGTATATTACGTAACAAGAGTTGTATGTGACCCATTACGCACGAAATGTAAAAGTTTATGCACGAAGCCGCGCTGACGAATTAATAGGTGCTTTTCGATATAACCATTTCTAGCGCAAGTATTGGAATACAGGTCATCAGCACCAGGCGCAATATTCTCGCACTGGTGCTATGGCTAAGCTCTAATATCAATGGGCTTACTAAACACCTGTTTTTGTTAATCTGCCAATTGTTCCTGGTTTCGTTTGCTTAAAACATGTGACTCGTTACGTTGCATAACTGTACTGGATATCATAGGCGTATCCAGGGGGGGGGCTGCCGGGCTGGGCTGCAGGGCTGGGCTGCAGCCCCCCCCCTATCACGGCAAGTCTTAGGAGGATAATTTATAATTTTTACATATTTCAGTTATTCAACACTGAGACGGCTAAAGACCTATTTGCGCAACAGCATACTGGGGAAAATAGATTAACCTCGTTATCCTTATTAAATATAAATTATGGGATTGAAATAGATATAGAAGAAGTACTGGATAAAATGAGCTCGTCGTTTAAACATTTGTTTATAATTTGTTTTTTATTTTGACTATTTCTTCACTAATTTTTTGTTTGTTTGATCAAATATTCGTTCATAAAATAGATATTTTTCATGGTGAGGCAGCTTATGTACGTTGTTAAACTATTGTTGATTTTGTTTTGACCTATGTATACATTTTCTGTGAAACAATAGAAAAAAGTTTGTTTTAGCGATGTGTCAAGTGAATCAGTGCTGCACCTCAAATTTCCGCCACACTCCTTTCCTCAGGAGAGAAGGGGTAAACAGGATTCCTCCATCTCACAAATAGAAAGCGAATAAGTGCAAACTCGCACCCCGATGCAAAAATTTTTGGCGTCCCGACGGCCGACAAAAGAGAATACCCGCGTAACGTTTCGGTATGTTTAGGATGAATTACGGACATAAATTGGGCGTGGCTCCGAAAAATGTTTTTAACCTGCGGCGCTTTTCTTTGGTCACCACTTTTTCTTAACACAGCCCCCCCCCCCAAACCTGAATCCTGTATTCCCCAATGCTGGATATCAAGTAGATATCTTATTAATAGCTATTTATATATCAAGGGAGCAAAGGTATCCGTTTTCTCCCGCGGCATTCAACACACATGGGAGGAAATGAACGTTTGCTCCCAAGATATATGAATGATTTTATCCACGAATATATATATTTGAGAGTGTCGTTCTTAAAATTGTGCTTCAAAAGGTCTATCTCTCGAGTATCGATCCAAATCAATGTGTAACATGATCTAAGGTTACAGAACGAAAATCAATTTGACATTGACACTTCTGTCACATTGAATTAGTTTATTGTGATGTAGCCATTGTATTTTATTCAAAGTTTGGATAGAGTGATATATGAGGAAGTGTATGAGATCATTGGAAATGGAATTGTTATTTGTTTCATAGCAGTGATGGACACTTGGACACACAGATTAGGTACTTGGGTACCACAAATCTCATGTGTATATCGCTACCAAGGAAGCATGCTGAAGACAATTTATTTCACCTCCCACGGGAGGTATTATTTTTTCCTCCCGTGGGAGTAAATTGACAGGTATGTGTCCTCAAATGAGGGAGCCAACGCTAACTTTCTATGCAGTAAGTAGATAAATACTATTTTCATTCATCAGGACCTTGTTGAAAGATTCCGATAGCATTACTTCCTTCACTCACTTCATTCAACCATAAAATAGTAATGAGTAAAAGTAATACTCCCTACCGAACAAGACTGCACAATTACTAGGATTCGTATCTTGGTCCAAATCTTTCGTTGTGAATTTACTGCCCAAGTGGTCGGTTAGAGAATCTCCTGCATCGCCAAAAAAGTCTCTGAGAACTTTCAGAGGGTATCCTTCCTTTTCAGGTCCGATTCCAAATGCTTTGTAGTGGGCATAGGCTGTCACCTGATCCCTATCCACTATTTCAATCAAAAGTTCGTTCACCTCAAAACCTGGAACATATAATAAGGTGAGTAATAACTATTGGGACATCGGCTAAGGGCGGATTGTTTGGACCAAGATATGGCGATAGGACCGAATATGCCTTATGAAATAATTGCTGTGGATAAAGATACAAGGCGTTGAAGTTGATTTTTTTCTCCGTTTTTCGCTGATAATTTCACTGTAATTATATTCATCAATTGTCATCAAAATCGGCACAGGGACACAGAATACCCAACAATATGGTTCGTAACGGTTTATTTCCACCGTAGTTACTGAAATTCGTCGGCGGTGAAGCATTATTTATTTGAGTCTCATTTCCCGACCTATTCAACTGTCGAAGACCAGTGAAAACATCATGCGAATCATCACATATGAATAGTGGGAGAGCTGGGGCTGAATACTGTAGTTCATCTATCTTGAAGCGAAAACCATAATAATTGCTAAAACTGTTAGCGTGAGTCTGTTAGCCTACTTAAATGAATACAAGCGGTAGTGTACTGTCACTCGAGTACACACGTCGTCGTTACGTTCAATGAATATAATGAAAGATAGCAAAGTTACCCTGCACAAATCAAATGCAATTTTGATTTCTGTAAATTTACCTGAAATTTTGGGAGAAAGTAGTTCAAAGTGTGTTTAACAAAAGTCTCCATGGGGTCAAACGATTTCTATGAGTATCGTTCTCGTGCTACGCTCTCGTGAATCCTCTGATGCTACGTAGAGAATATACTTGACTGAATTATCTACATAGGGGGTACACACGCACTTGTGAGATATCGAAATCGAAATCAGCTCAGGTTAGGTTAGGTGGGTGTGGATGTGGGTGTGTGTGTGTGGGTGTGGGTGTGGGTGTGGGTGTGTGGGTGCATTGTGGGTGTGTGTGTGTGTATACAGGAGCATACAAAGAGTTCAAAGTACTTGTCACGTCCACTTTCGTTGACCTTGAGTAGCGCAAAGAACAGGTGATATGATTAATGATATATGTTAATAAATGTAAAATATAGTAATGAAATATAGCTCAACTAATCAGCAAACTTCCCAAATTCCTGAATTCGATTTCGATATCTCACAAGTACGTGTGTACCTCCTTTGTAGATCCTTTAGTCGAGTTTTCTATACGTAGCATTAGAGGATTCACGAGAGCGTAGCACGAAAACTACTCATAGGAATCGTTTGACCTCATGGAGACTTTTATTTACCACACTTTGAACTACATTCCCCCAAAATTTCAGGTAAATTGACATAACTCAAAATTGTATTCGATTTGTGCGGGGTCCTTTGTAAGTGTACGGACATTATTTGGATTCCAAGAATGATCGCGGAGTAGTATACGCTGAACCTTGATAAGTGAAGGTGCACTTCATTTTTTCTTTAAGTCACTTGTTGCTTCTATCATTTTGCACATACTAAGGGAAGGTGTTCGTAAAGAATATTTTCGCAGATAATTTTGAATATTCCATTCCTCCGTATTGGGATATAATATATTATTTTTTGAGGTTTTGACCAAGGTGATATACCTAAATCGACTTTCGAATCCATTCAACACCATTGCATTCATCCTCAAATAGTGTGATTATCATTTGAGCATTCCTCAATATTATTGTCAATCTACACAAATCAAATTATATTTGTAGTCTCCCTGAAGATGGAAATATATATTTCCGAAAGCTTGGACAAACTGTAATGAGTTCACCTTTACTTTGCTGCAATCCCCAGTAGCAAGCTAGTTTTATATATACATTTCATTTTCAGTATCTTGGCTTCATCCACATCGCTGTATATCCTTATCCTGGAAGAACTCAGTATGAAACTAACCTGTCAAAGCATATATATTTTCCAGTCCGATCCAAAACTCTCCCTCTAATTTGCCAAATCCATGTTTGTACTCTCTCCAACCCCTATAAAAATCTACTGATCCGTCTACTCTCTTCTGGATATGGGTCCAGCCACCTCCCTTGGTTTCCATATCACAAAGCACCATGAACGACTTCTTGGACGTTTTCGGTTGGATTTCGTATAAACCAGAAACTGTATGACCTGCAAGTGAATATTAATAGTGAATATTTTATAGTGCCGACCTTCATGCAGTTCTGGATTCGGCAATTGGCCGTAGAGCTCTGCGCGGGCCAGATTTTTGAGGCCCGCCCTGACCCGCATGTTTGTGAAATGGAACCCGACCCGCAGCAACCCGCACGGCAAAAAATGTAATGCAGGCCCGCGCGGTCCGCAGTTGACAACATTTTAGCCCGACCAGCGTCATGACCCTCATGTTTACTCAAACTCGGCCCGTGTAGCTCACTCGGCCCGCGTGGCCCACTCAGCCCGCGTGGCTCACTCGGCCTGCGTAGCTCATTCGGCCCGCGTGGCTCATTCGGCCCACATGGCTCACTCGGCCTGCGTGGCTCACTCGGTCCACGTGGCTCACTCGGCTAGCGTGGCTCACTCAGCCCGCGTAACCCACTTATGGAAAGAAACTTCAAACATATATTTTGACCTAAGGAAAAAAATCCCACCCTGAATTTTCACTCGATATCAATGATATGCTGATGTGTTTGAAGTGTTAATAATTGAATGATTGAATGCTATATCTTTATGTAATTTATCGATTGAAAGGTACTTACCTCTAGATTATTCGATTGTAATATCTTCCTAAGGGAGTTACTCGACAATATGGGGACAATAAAAACGAATGCGATTTGTATAGCTCTCATCAAAATAAATAAAATTAACTAAAGTCTCATTATTCATGACCACAGGCTATTGGGATTCGACTGATTTGAGGATCCCAAGAAAACCGAGTTCATTTCACAAACGCATGGGCGTCTGGATTGCTCAGAGTATCACGTCATTTCGAATGTGGGATTCTGTTACTAGGAAATGAAGACTCACAACCCACAACACTCACGCAAGGGCCCGCGGGACCCGCACGGTCCGCGGATCCCGCACGGTCCGCGAAACCCGCCCGGCCCGCGGTACCTTCATGGTCAGTGAAACCCGCACGGTCCGCGGAACCCGCACGTCCGCGGGACCCGCACGGTCCGCCGAGCTCATTTTTATGAATCGGACGGCCCCGCACTTCTTATGAATCGGCCCGTCCCGCCCCGCACACTACATTATTCAGGCCCGTGGCGGCCCGACCCGCGGTGCGGATCGGGTCGGGCCTAAGCCCGCGCGGGTTGGCCCGGCCCGTGCAGAGCTCTAATTGGCCGTATAGGCCTCGGCTAGCTTAGGTGGCAGCTTTCTGAGGACAACGATCCCACGCTTTGGTAATAATTGTGGATATAACGAACTAACCTTATGATACGGTTAGTTCTTTGTGTCCACGTTATCTTCCTTTCTCAAAATATATACAGGGTGTATCTGAATAACACCGAAAAAATTCAAGGGGTATTTCCTTGTGACATTCTAGCAAATAAAGTTCATATAAACATGTGTCCTAACTTGCTCCGTTTTTAAGATACAGGATGTTGAAGATGGAAGTATTTATTGTTTTTATTTATAACCCCCCTGTATAAGCCTCCATGGTGCCTAAATTCAGTATGGATGGAGACTGAGGAAGTCCCAAAATTGCAAAATGATTCTAATTGGGGTAATCTCAATGGAAGTTTTGAAAACACCTACATTATAATTTGGAGTCGAATCGAATTTTAATTGTTTCCTCAAAAATTATGCTAGATACAAAAATCACACAGAGGATGAAAAAGTTGTTATTTCAATAGTTCAATCTAATAGAAATATAGATCAGAAAAAACGGTGGTGTACAATGACATTCACCATGAATATCGATAAATGTACCCATTGTGACGCCACTGGAAATATTATTTCGAATCTGATTGCACTAGAAGAAGCTCCATATGACTATTAACGAAACCACAACGTTTCATTGAAATTGATGAAAAGACAATTGAGAAATGATCAGGAAGAAGATTTATCATATTACCTATCGGTTGATAATATTATACTCTAGGTATACTCTATTGCTCACAGCACAATAGTTGTCATTTTCGAATTAACAATATTATGCACCTTGTATATTTCAATAAGATACAGATAGATACGATTACTTATAGACATTTCGCGGTGAATAATTTATGTTACCGTCACAATATTCTGATTTATATAGGCACAACCAGATGAAAATTATTGCTTATACTATATCAAAATGTAACCGTAACAATATTCTGGCTATAGTCACAATAAGAAATGGATAGTGTAACAATATATTTGGTTGTGCCTATACTGACAATATGACTCTTACCGTGTTAAATGTTTCAATACTATATTTGGAGCATGATTATGAAAAAAATTTAACTTTCTGGTCGGATCTGAGAAACAAAATTTCTAGTTTGGTTAGTTCATGAAGAGTGAAATTTGGTATTCATCGAAATAATTTTGTAAATTTCCATAGTTTGCATGGTTAGTTCAAGAAAAGTGGAATTTGGCATTCATCAAAATAATTTTGTGAATGTTTCGTCAGCAAAGCCGGAAGTATAGCTTCAACGGAGCAAGACTTAAATTAACAGAAAACAACAAAATGAAGAAGAAATTGTTGGGAAGAAGCTGAAGAGATTATTTGAGAATCGTTCTCAGGTATCATTCGTTATTACTTTTCTTCATTTCATTACATTATTTGCCAATGAATACGTGACCAAGAGTCCAAACACAACAAATTACCGACTCCGATGCTACAAATAGAAAGCCCAGTCCTAGGAGTGAGCCATATTCAGCTGGAATACTACACCTTTTTCAGTTGTATTTCAGAAAGCATCAATTGTATTTCAGAAGAGTCAATATCAGAAATCGTCAATTGTATTCCACATGAATTGACGATGGGGCTGTTCACAATAGTCAAATTTACACCAGAAACCTATTTCATATTGTTCATTCCGTGTATATAAATGGAATTCGGTGCAATCATTCGTTATTCAAAATCATCAGAAATATAATTTTTTCGATCATGAAATTAGGCACCCTCGAAAAAGCCAGCTTCGATGGCGTCATGAACCGAAACGAAAGTCATCGTTATCTGAATTCTGGTTCTCTCATGAAAAGTATGATCACATATTTAGACACTGCCAGATTTGTACCTAGGTACATAGATCAGTACCTATAGTAAATACCTTCTGAGATTCAATATGACCGATGACAACAGTATTCTCATTCACAGAAGACAACAGGTTCGTCCTGACCCCAAATAATCACTTATTGAATACTTATACAGGGTGGGCCACCAGTAACGCCTCGGTCTCTAGAAGGCTAACCACTTATCTTCTTGGAATTCTTCCTCTCTAGGAAGTTGCATGTCAACATAGGCTACCATTTGAAATTATTTCGAAACATACAGGGTGTCCCCGAAAACCATAAAACACTGAAGTTAAACTTTTTTCTATCGAACACCCTATATATTATTTCATTTTGAGATTCTTCCTGATGAGCTGTGTGTGAAAAATCGAGATTTTCCAAAATCAAGAATTTTTTGTGTCGAAACTATTCATAATTGGTCGAAACGGCTCACATGTCCCTATCTCAACTTTTGATTAACTATCTACTGATACCGGGTGATCAAGAATCTGAATTCTGCACCACCCTGTATTTGTTTCAATTAAATGTCAGTAGATAGTTGATCAAAAGTTGAGATAGGGACATGTGAGCCGTTTTGACCAATTATGAATGGTTTAGACACAAAAAATTCTTGAACTTGGAAAATCTCGATTTCTCACAACCTATATCTCAGTAATTATAACTGCTAGACCCCAAGTATGATGGGTCGTTGAAATCAGCTCACCAGGAAGAATCTCAAAATGAAATAATATATAGGGTGTTCGATTGAAAAAAGTTCAACTTCTGTATTTAGTGATTTTTGGGGATATCCTGTATGTTTCAAAATAATTTCAAATGGTAGCCTATGTTGACATGCAACTTCCTAGAGAGGAAGAATTCCAAGAAGATAAGTGGTTAGCCTTCTAGAGACCGAGGCGTTATTGGTGGCCCACCCTGTATACTCGCAATATGCTTCAGTGCCAATACAAATATTCCAGTATTCTTAATAAAGATCGAAATTTTATAGGAACACAAATTGTTTTGTCGCACTGGTATCAGCGTAATGGCTAGAGTTCTCGGAAGTACAAGAGGAGAAGCAGAAGACGAACTACATTGTCAAGCTAACTCTTCTTCATCTTCATATACAATACAAGGTATTTCTCTTATGAGCTGATTCTTCAGTTGTGTGTTGTGTTTTGTGTTATCTGTTATCTGCGTCTGAAATTGTTCCTAGAGTATATGGCGGGCACCTCATTTTGATTGCTATGAGAATCAGAAATATTCTTGCACTTGTCTAACAGACAAGGAGAAAAGATATGTATATCGCACTATTTCGGATGAATACTTCACGCGTTTCCCCGTGTTTTTCATGTATCGAAATATCGTGAATTTCAAAAGGTTTGTTCGCGTTCAAAAAACTATCAGTCCGAAACCATCATAATCATGCGTAGGGTTTCACGAGACTCTCGAAATTCGAGATTTCTCGTCTCGTCTCGTCTCGATTTCGAGACGAGATCGAGACGAGACTAACTTTATTTTTTCGAGACGAGATCGAGAAAAGCACTTCGAGATTTTTCGAGATCGAGAAATTATTTCGAGATTTCTCGATCTCGAAAAAATATATGTGCTGCAATAACTCACAGCTCTAAATACTCAAGAAATGAGAAAATAAAAGACTAAATGTAATTCATTTCAAACATAATAAGAGAAAATAACAAAAAAATTACAAATATAACAAAATAAATAAAAAGGACAAAGTTAGAAATTAATATCTTCATATTCTTACAGAACTTTAACGTCTTAAACTATTGAAAACCATCAAATACGAAAATCATATTTGAACACTCAAAAATTAACAAATCATAAGAAAATAAATGAACAATGAACAAAGTTTTTCAACAGAGAACAAAATTGTTGTTTACACACTTGTAAATATATCTATGGTATATAGCCAAGAATTTAAACATATAGTAAAAGTTGAGCCGATTCTCCAGTTAATCGGCTTCGTTCTTTTCTGATGGTAAGTGTTGCTCTTGAAAACAGTCTTTCTGCCGGAACTGAAGTAGCTTGAATACTCTAAAAATCACGAGCCATCTTTGATAAATTCGGATATATGGCCTCGTTTTTTCTCCACCACTCTAAAATATCTTGATTCCCTTCAGCTCTCTTAGACAAACAATATCCATCTATTTATTTTCTCCAGTTAAGCTCTCTGTTGCCGTTGCTTTTTTCGAATAAATTTTGCAAATTAAAATTGTCGGTATTGTCATCAACATCATAGTCAGTAAGAGGCTGCGATGTTGAAGGAATATCGTAATTGGAATTGCATAAATTTCACTACTTCGACCCCTACTATTGAGATAAAATAATTTGCTCAATAATTTTTTTTTCGATTATATGAAATGAGTTTGTTGCTGTTGCTGTTACATTCTTCACGAACGAAGAAACAATTTTAAACTTTCACCTTTCGTACCTAGGTAAATTTAAAAGTATGGATAAAGATTAGGTTAATTGAAACATCAAGGATTCGTTAAATTTTCATTTTTTGGAACATTATATTCTTTATTTTTGTGCTGATACTCGGCGGTTTTTTTTATATGTGGCTTTTAGCCATATTTTTATAGAGAAAATTCAATACCCTGTATTTTGGTGCAGCCTTATAACCTATACATAGCATTTTTTAATAACGCTCAGTTTTTGTCTCGGTTTTTGTTTTCGAGACTCTAGAAATTTCGAGAGTCTCGAATCGAGATCGAGAAATTGTATTCGAGAAAAACATCGAGACGAGAGTTTGTTTATTTCTCGTCTCGATGATCGAGACGAGACGAGAAAGTGCCTTCGAGACGAGATTTATCGTCTCGATGAAACCCTAATCATGCGCAGTGACAAAGAAGTGTTCGAGTTTTCTCAGGACTGTTTCGTATTCAACAGATCACGTGTTTACGTTTTATATGAACTAGTTTGAGATTGTTTCGATTCGGTCCAAAGCAGTACGAGTCTCTGGGCTAGAACTGCCCATGACTGGCGTGGATAATTTTGGATGAGCCTTCGTTTATGCAACAGATTTTTAACCTCTTAGCGTTCTTATGTTAAGAGATACACTTTCAAACAAGATGAAGATTGGAATTATTGAAAAAAAATCCATCAAGATTATGAACAATGGGCATATGAGCTTCAGATCATTGTCCTATCTTCAAGGTAAGAATATACAAACGTTTTTGAACATGTTATTTACTGAAAATCCTCAAGACCAATCTGGAGGATGGTGGTTCTGAATGAATCTGAATGAATCTGTACTTAGATTAAGAATCATTTATGGTATATGTATAAGTGTATGAATATTTATGTGAGAAACGATTTTTGTTCAGGACGTCAAAATTGGGATTATTTTATGATAACATCAACATGAACCTTACCTAAATATGACCTCGATTCACGTGAGTCAAGACACATATTTTCAAGAAAGAAGATGGGAAAACGGAAAAACGCTGTTTTCGTTTATCTGGTTTCGAAACTATCCCAGACTTGTTTCGGTTTGAATTTGATGCGCACATGATTCTGCGCAGTCCAAGGACGTTTCAACAATTTGGAACACGAACAAACCTGATAATAATTCGAGAAATGTACAGAGCTCTAAGGAAAAAACGGTTTGCGACAGTGAACTAGTTCTGGTAAGTACTTCGAAATAATGAAATACAATGAAATAACAGGCCCATTCTAAAAAACAATTGACGCTTTCTGAAATACAAGTGGCTATTCCTGAATACACTTGACGCTTTCTGAACTTCAATTGACTATTCTGAAATACAATTGATACTTTCTCAAATACAAGTGACTATTTCGAAATACACTTGACGCTTTCTGAAATTCAATTTTGAATATCTCCACTCCCTGATATGCGTGCACAGTCATTTTCCAGTAGAGTACTGTGCACATTTATTGATGAAAGATAAATTGGACAGGTTGATCTCTTCATCAAATACTACACGAGATAAATGATGGACGTTCGACACAATGAATTTAATATTCTTGCAACTTTTCGAATCGGTTGTTGATGACTTTGTAAAGTGCAACACGTGAAAATTGAAAAAGACCAATATATAGGTGAACGATTCGATAATGTAGTGATAGTATTCATGAAAGTATACCATTTTCTTGTATCTCTTTGCAATTCCTTGGTAGATCTCTCTTCGTGGTATTCTTCTGAAAGTTAAAACTTCGATTCCTCTCTAGACTTTGACAGATTGGTAATTTGTCGATTCCCACCAACGATCTGCATACTGCACTGTATTCACATGGATGATAATCGTCTTCATCGTTTCTTGAAAAAATAGAATGAAACATTCATAATCATTGATTTTATTCAATTATATTGTATGAAGGGGGCGAGATATTCATTTCCCTAATAACACACTTATGTCTCATGGATATTCTTAGGACGTCCTGTCAAGACATTCAGGACGTCCATAGGACGTTCGAATTTGGACGTCTGTGGGACGCACAAATGTCCCACTTGAGGACTAACTAGGGACGTCCTTGAGGGATGTCCCTAGGACAACTATCGAATACCCAAATCCTACAGTATTCCTAAGCAAGTACTACAGAGGACATCCTTAGGACATCCATAGGACAACCTATCAGCAACGCTGAAGGATATCAATTGGATGTCCATAGGATGTCCCAGGGACGTACGAACTATTCTTGAATTTGAATTTTTCTGGGTCCCTCTAGGACCAGATCTTGCATAACTGATAAGGACATCCAGTTGAGTTGATGGTCCGTAGAAGGTCCCCAAAAAGTTTCCCAAGGATGTCCAATGAACTTACGTGAAGGACATTGACGAGGAGTACTTATAGCCTACGAGCAATCATTCGTCGGTGAGGTGTGAGTTAACATCCTCGCAGGGACAACATATTGAAAGAACCGGCTGGGACGTCCATAAGACGTTATTTCTAGGACATTGGAAGAGTACAGTTCATGTACCAATTGGGACATCCGACGGACATTCGAAGGATGTACCTAAGGGACATTTCGATTGTTATACGATCCTGGAAATATTATGGGCGTCTGTGCAGAGATATTTGAAGGAATGTACCATGAGGGACATTTCATGGTTGTCTAGAAGGGACATTATATAAGATCTGAAGTCATGCCCGAATATGAACTACTCGGGACATCCGATGGATGTCCCTAAAGGAACGTTTAAAATCATATTCCATCAGGGACATCCCAAGGACGTCCTTGCATGGACATTCTACAATATGTACCACGTGGGACGTCGCAGGGATGCTATTTCTAGGACATTTGAAATGATGTACCAGCTGGGACATTCCGTGGACGTCCTTGCTCGGACATTGCATGAGATGTACCAAATAGGGACGTCCCTCGGACGTTGTATGCTATTAGGGTTAGAAATATCTCAATACGCATTTGGTATCTATAGTATAGGTTTCCAGTACGATTGACAAATTTTATTGCTATCTATAGCATATCGGATTCTGGATTTTGAAAATCAGATATCTATTTTTATTCACGAAATAGTCATTATTTACATATTTCAATAATTTGTCACAGCTCTGTATTCAAAAATTTAGTTTCGACTCCATATTTATGTCTTGACTTATATTTTTCACTTCCATTGGTTCTACGATGATACAATCCGTTCTACATATCGTTGTGCTAGAACAATACTAGGACATTTTGAAAAATGGCCAATTCAAGATATCTGGTACAGAATAATGCTGAGAAAATGTTCTTTCGGCACTATAGTAATCACATTAAATCATTTGAGCATGTTATACCCGATATCTCACTATTGCAATATGTATTTTTTCATGTTTTTTTTTGTTTGATAGTGAGACATGTTGGAAAGTTTTTTTTTTCCAACATATGCGACTTATATTCCCATGTATTTCTTAGTTTTCGCTTGAAAAAATAAAAACGAAAATTTTCGTTTTCTTCAAATAATTCAAAAACTGACAATGATACAGCGAATCTTCTTGCAGATAAATGCTCACCATAAAAATGAACAACTTTGCCATAATTTTACCGACCTCGTATCTCTAATAATAACTGACATCCCCATGGTGGAGCTCGAGAAACGGGCACCCTGTATAACGTTTCAAATTGGTCGAAATATACTCGATAGCTTGAAATATGATTTTTCGAAATCGATCAAATTTCAACAAGAAAGCAAGAATAACTTCTTGAGGGAACGCCATGTAAGTACGTATTCTATTTGGCCTTATTTATTCTACTCACCGTCCTGACATCGTTGTAGGTTTACTATTGATCAAACCTTCCAGATATTTTTCTAATGTTAATTCACAATTGTTGTGGTTCTGTAGGAGGTCTTTCACAGTCTCAAATTCTTTCTTTATTTTATTCAATATTTGACCGTCAACGTAACTTTCCTGTGATTGTCCACGATTTAGGCCTGTAGAAAGAAAAAAACAACAATTGATCTATAAATCATTATATATATTATCTGAACAGACCTTGTCAATTGAAAGAAGGCCTCATTTCGAGAAACTGAATTTTGATATCTCAAGAAACACAAGTATATAGTCGAGGGTTTCGTTCACAAGATACAGGTCGTTAAAGTTGAAAATATATTTTTTTGTCCAACCTATACTTTCAAGACTCCTTGTGATGTATGGTAATGAGATATACATCATTCATGCTGACTGACAAAAAACGGCAAAAAGCATTCGCATTCAATTATTTGGTTTTCAAAAATAATAATTCATATGGACTGACCCATCAGATGGGTACCCAAACAACACAGGGATGTCCTAGGTACGTCCCTTTTTTGTCCCGCGGTACAAGGACATGATTGGGGCATCCAGAGGATGTCCGGCAGTGGTTGACTAGTGGACAACCAGCCCGGCACATCCCTAGATTATCCTATTCGTGTCCCTGGAATATCTGATATCCATTCACATCAGAGTCATCAAATTTCATCAAAATATTGATTTGATTTTTTTCAAATGTTTGTTTTTCTTCTGGATAGTAATTGTAATACAAATAAAGATATAGTCTCAGAACTTCCTAAGAAATGACCATTTTTCGCAAAGATAAATCGTGAATGCATAATTCCTCTCATTTTTAAACACCCAAGAATGATAATCATACTCAAATCCTAACAAAGCTGTATTTATTCAGGTTTCTGTAGTTTCGTCCTTGTAAATCTGTTTGGTACATAAATCTTCAGAAGGCATATATCAGCCAATAGATTAAGGTGCGTGCTCGATAAGCTAAAGGTCCAGGGTTCAATTCCACTCAACCCAAATTTTTCTTTCAATTGTCGAAGGGATGTCCTTGAAATATCCTTGAGACGTCCTAGGGATATCCTTTCTTCGTACTTGGTACATCCCAGGGACGTACCAGAAGGACATGCACAGCGGATGTCCCTGGGACGTCCCTAGTATGTACTTTGTCTCAACAAAGGATATCCCTGGGATGTCCTAGTATAAAATTAGGGACGTCCTTGGAAAGTCCCTAGGAAGTACTTGTGTCCAATATTTATACTGATGATAGATACTATAGTATTCATGATCTCAAAGTTGACTAATGGAAAAATAAGGTATCCGTGGATAACTGCGGTCTTCAAAACACTTGCTCTATTTCGAACACTCTGGCTGGATATCCACTTGTTCTAGATCTAGATGCAGTGATGGAAGTCAAGTTGACTTTTTGACAAGATCAAGTGCAAATAAAAAATTAGTGCTCAGTTGAAAAGGAATACATATTTTCATAAAATTTTTGAGATGTAAAGCAAATGTTACTGAATTGAATATCAGTGTTCCATTCGTCAGATATTGTAAAACAGTACATGAGGATGGCGACCAACAAGCAAGCATTAAAATGGGCGTGTACACCTTAGTAGAACTTTTAACTCAAACCATGTTTATAATGATCCTTTTATACATAAATAATGATTGACGACATAATTCGATCGAAAAATCAACTGGAATGTTTTATTTTTGGACATAAATAATAGTACCTTCTGAAAACAGCCCCTCTTATGACGTAGAAACCTCATCTCGCCATAGTTGAAAGAAAATACAAAACGCCCGACGAAGACTGAGGCAACTGATATATTAATTCTTTCAACTATGATCTCGCGCTAATTCACTCTGTCAGAAATCATGTATCATTCATCTCTGTCTGGAATAGTCTTGTTTCAGTATTAGGGTTTTGACGTCACATCATCGTCTCGTTTTTAGAGGTCCGAAAAATCGGGAATTTCAATATTTTTTTATAAAACGTAGGGAGCTCACAGCAAGAAACGGTTTGCGGTGGAGAGCTAGTTTGGGTGAGTTCTATCGAATTATGAAATGAAAATTTTTTGTGATATAAGCCCATTGGTTGGGTAAACCATTCCATTCCATGAAGAAACATAGAATGGTTCGCTTTCGCTCAGGCCACTGAACATAAACAGAGACGTTTATGTTCGGTGCTCAGGCTAATACTTAAACGCTGATAGGTCCATGCAAGCTCATATATGCTCATAAATTACTATTGATTCACATTGGTGATGACAACAGTTGTCAGTTGATGCAAAAATTGGCATTGGGGAAATAATGTGTTTTCAGTTTTTATCATCTATTTTCATGCATTCTGATTTACGAACTGGCACAGACTTTTTATTTGCAATCTCCTTGGTATGAATTTTACCTTCTGATTCTGCCATCATTTGAGAATGGACAACGTCTTGAACAGCCGGATGCAGATTTTCATATTTTCCCTCCAGTCGGATGTTGAATAATTTCGTTAAAGTGAAATTGATAGAATTATTGCCTCCTTTGATGAACTTATTTCCATCATTTGTGGTAACGTTATTTTCCTTCAGGATATCATTCTGAAATTCCAATGCGTTATCATCCACTTTATATCCAGGAGTAGGTATACACCGTCATGAAAAAATACAGTAGTATATGGAAAAGCTTTATATAGCTTTATCGCAGTATAAGGGATAGTGAAGATGTTTTTTCGTCTACTACTGATCAACTAAAACATCTCATACTCTACTGAAAATATTTAGACCGCACCTATTTATTATTATAATTACCTACATAATTACATATCTTGAGTTAATCACATACACTTATAAATTACATGATATTTCGGCACGCTCTGTTTGAATTGATTTTACAAAATAAGTAATGCATGTGTGTATGTACATATAGGTACTAATGATATATCTACAGCGTGTCTCACCTCCATGTGCAAAAAATCACCTAATTCCGAATTAACAGGATTGACTTTATTTTTTTTTCATTTTCACCCTCGAATAAATAGTGACTTCAAATCAACTACGAATTTTGGAACGTGCAATGGCTCCGGTAGGTGGAAAATCATGATTTGGAAGGAAAAACGAGTTATTCTTTTTCATGTTGAACTACCGTTTCCGAGTAGATAGTTATTACGTTCGCAAAAATACTGTTTAGATGTACCTGTTTCTCTGAAACTCTTCATAGGCATCTTATGAAAATCCACAACTGGTCATATTATTGATGATTATTCATACCGATACAAATTTGGTAAAGAGCGAACGACTGATAGCTGAGATATAGAGGGGGGGGGGCGTTTGAAATGAGACACGCTGTATATTTAAACCAAAGAAGGACAATTCTTCATCTGATTCAGATCAAATTAAATTTTTTATATACCTCTGTTATAACAGTTTACTTCTTACGTTAATAGTTATTTATGTAATAAGGATCATAAAGACGATCATTATGGTACAAGTCGTGTACGGCTACGCCTCGCCCGATAACACGGCGTGTGCCATAATGATTGTTTATGATTCGTATTACATACAAAATTTTATCTGATGGCATTTATATCAATACATTTTCGAAAAATTAAAAACTGCATTTTCGACATATCACAATGACAACTATTTTTAAAGGAGTAAGTATTGTGTAGTTTCAAATACTAGTAGGTGAGTGAGCTGTGCTTTGCCATTATATTAATATTACAAATTGTAGTAATTGTTCTTTTACCATTTATAATAAATAGTTTTGTACATAGTTATGCATTTTGAATAAACTTTTTTGATCAAACCATTACATGTTTTCCTTATAGAATTTCATTATGGTACTTAGTACTAGTATTTCATCATTCTTTCTTAGAATTCTTGAAGCATAAAATTGATCATAATACTGTTGAAATCTACTGAATTTTTGGCAAGGTATTTTTTTTATCTTCTGGTTCTCACGAAAAAAGGGATATCCTGTAATGTTCAGAGAACATCGTGAGAACCGAGGGAAATAAGGTAGGAATTGTTGTTCTTCTTAAATTTCTGGAGGATTATGATAGAATAAAAATCTAATACTGGCAACCCTGGACCGCGCGGAGAGTGAGTTGACAATAACTGTCATTTGCTGTTGTCGAATTGATTATTCACGAAATCCGATAGATTACATGTGTTAATAGGAATGTGATGTGAATAAATGTGTTTGAGGTCGACGAAAAAGGGAACACCCAAAACGTCAGAATATAATGCATCAAAATATAATTTATAAGAATATATTTCATCAGAATGGTAATTCGTAGGTACCGTAATTGATAGTTACTGTATTCTATAAGCACGTTTTTCATCGCTTTGTAAAACATAGCTCCGTAATTTGTAGGTATGTATTATAACAAAACGTGATTCGTCAAAATGTAATCCATCAAAATGGTATTCGATAAGAACCGTATTTGATCATAACAGTAATTCATCAGAACAGTATTTCATCATCACGGTAATTTATCATAATCTAATTCTATCGTTAGGGTATTCTATCAGAACCGTAATTCGTCGCTTCAGTAAAACATCAGAATCGTAATTCATCAAAATCGTATCGTATAGGAACTGTATTCCATCGTCACATCAATTCATCGGCACTGTATTTTATAGTTTCAGTAATTCATCGGAACCGTATTCCATCGGAACTGTATTCTATCAGAAACATATTTCATCAAAACTGTATTTCATCAGAACCGTATTCCATCATCACCGTATTTCGTCAGAACCGTATTTCGTCAGAACCGTATTTCGTCAGAACCGTATTTCGTCAGTTCCGTATTTCGTCAAAACCGTATTTCGTCAAAACCGTATTTCGTCAAAACCGTATTCTATCAGAATCGTATTTCATCAGTACAGCATTCTGTAAATACACTAAATATCCAATTATTACAGATAACTTCATCACAGTTAGATGCACAGAATATTTGTGTTAGTACCGCCGAATGCATATAGATGCTGTTCAGGGTTTGTTTGGGATGATTTTCGATTGTTTGATGAATCAAACTACTGATTGAAACAAACGCAACAAGCACATTTTTTACTAAATGGAACATTGAATGTCTTCGCGATAATTCAACATATTCTGCTGCCGTGTTTTCATTCTGAAAATGAATATTTCACTATTATAAGTCTATAAAATATCGAAGAATTCCCCATGCTTCCTTGTTGACGAAAAATGTTTGGGAAGTTTTCCAGTCATATTCCTATAACGCTAAAAATATACAGGGTGATTCAGGTTTTAAGGCACAAACTGAAATGGGAGATAGATCTCATCATATTAATCACAAAAGTTCATACAAACATTAGTCCGATCTCGTTCAGTAGCGGAGCTACAGAGGGTCAAAGTTTAAGTCAATTGAACTATCTCGCTTACTTTTCAAGATATCATTTTGAAATTTGGTGTAGTCAATACTTCCTAGAAGATCATCATTTCAAGCATTTTGAAGATTTTCAGAATCTACAGGGTGATACGTTTTTGGAGGTAGAGGCTTTTTATCCCCTCCAAACTTCTTCGTAGCACGCCTCTGGCATCTTTCAGTGATCAAATTGTGTAGATCGTCCAATTTAGAGGCTTTTTTTGATCTTTAATTTTTTTCGATAAACGAAAACCGTTCTTGAGATAAATATGCATAAACGTTCTAAAACATGTTAGATTTATAAATAAAAAGAAACAGATGTTTGTATTGATAGTTTACCTAACTTCAGGATGATACGGTTTAAAAATTTTTCAAAATAGTAGAATTTTTTTTACGGCAACTTTGGAGAACTGAAAAAAAAATGACTTTATTTCCTCCGTTTCCTCGTTACTGATCCAGATTGGACTCGTGATTTCAATTCTAGTGAGTACATTTCATTGCATTCTCAACGGATTTTGTCAAAGAATAAAATATTCAAGCGAAACATAGGCAAAATTAAAATATGAACCATTTCATGTAGTCAGGAATCGTCCCATAATATCACTGCGTTCAAAGAATTTTCTATCAGAGAGCCTAAGAGAAAAATTCATTCGGTTGTCAGTGCCATTCAGTTCTGAAAATGGTTGAAGAAGAGTAATATTCAAAAAATATGGAATCACATTACTCGAAAATGTATACTCTGATATTTCGGTAACGAATCTGATCCCATAAAGAATGGAAAAAGTAATTCTTTCAAATTGTCTTGAGAAGGTTCATACTGAGAAGGCATGTTGCTGATGATTTTTATCTATGGAAATGAAGAGAGAGAGATATAAATAAATCTGGGAAATGATTTTACCTTCCATAGCTTCAATTTATCGCTTCAGCAAATTGTATCATCCTGATTATCGAATGAACAAGATTGCCTTCATGAGGAGTAAGGCAAGGAATACATTTTTCAGAACTGAAACTCCTTTTGGAAATATCAGTGAATCCATTGCTACTGGTGAGAAGTGTATTCCACTGATAATAATCACATTCGATCATGGAATGTATCTTTGGAAGCTTTCTATTTCCTTGAAATTAATAATTTGAGAATTCTACCTCCATATGATTGGAAAAATCAGAATATGTACAGAGATGTGCACAACAAACGGCCAGTGCTGTTATTTCTGATTCATTCGGGATCAGATCCTGATCAATTGACAAAATATCAGTTCTGTCACTTCCAGTTTTACCGGAAATCATCCCAACTGCTGATTTTTTAATGTTTATTATTCCATGATTTGGCAATAAGGATTATCATAACGAGTTCTAGGATATCGGGTTTTTACAGGGTTATTTCAAACGAATACGAAGATAATGGCGTTCTTAGCTTCCATATGCCCAATGAGTGTGACAGAGAAGTACAGATTTTGCGAAGTAACACCCATTGAGCATTTATGGAGAAATCTAAATCAAATACCTTCGTGATCATTTGAAATAACCTTATCAAACCTGGTATCACTGAATTCGTCATAATAATACCTAAACTATTATGGAATATAACGCAGTGTGTCCAATTTGAAGATACAAAGTTGGGTTCGTTTCTACTGAAACAGGAAGTGATCGAACTAAAATTGTCTTGTCAATTGATGAGAAATTCAGTATATTTTCAAATTCCGAAATCGAATGATTCAGAAGTTACAGTTGTGTTCGTTTTTCGTGCACTTCTCTGTATATTTGATAATCATATAAGAAACGTAACCTTAGTCTGGAACAGTTGGCAACAAATTCAAAACTTGTTCTTTATCAATTTCAGGAAAACATGTTATTCGTCGTGAAAAGCTTTGCCAGGCTTGAAATCGTTGACCCAAATATTAGATATCAAAGTTTTTCAGTCTTATACGGGGTTTGTCAAAAAATAATAATTTTGGCTCCTGTTATTCATTATTCAGATATATACCTGAATTTATATTTCTTCAAATACAACACAGTATATTTTTTATATTTATGAATTGATATTTTGTGAAATACTGCCTGTAGGTTAATCGAGGAGGTGATACATTCATTATTCCAAATTTCTTGGGATTTTCTCTCTTCGTTTCTATAAAATAAAAATATGAATATCATTCCAATATATGTGTAGTAAGGACAAATTAGATGATTTGCCCCAAGATGTCACTGCGT